ATGGGGGTTAAGTGACTTGCCCAAGGTCACACAGCTAGTAAGTGTCAAGTGTCTGGTCTGAGACTCGATTTGAACTACCCCTGACATCTCTGAAAGACGCTGCTGTAGGGTCTTGGAGCACAAGCCCACCAAGACCACAGAGGAGGTGACAACCCTAGTGAGTTCAATGGGGCTCTTGAAGGAAGACACAAGCATCAGGCACTTGCTGACTTGGGTCACGAGTGAGTCCCAACTCTACCACTCTCAATGCTTCCCTTGTTGTCCCTATACCCCAACAGTCACCCCAATGGCAGAATTCAGAATAGTTGTGGTCGGCCCCACATCAAATCGTTGGTCCCTTCACCTGTTGTCCTCCCACCTCAACTCCATGTAACAGAATCCCTCTCTTCAAAATCTCTGGAGGACTGTCCTACACAAATCTACTCTCGGCCACCAGAGTGCCCTTTGTCCCTCCCCAACTACCTTAGATTTGTATTCTGTAGTTTTCTGTATATATTTATTCTACACATACTTACATATGTGTGGGTTATGACCCCTCGATGGAATATGTATTTGTCTCTCTAACACACATGGGCACTTAAAAAATGCGTGCTGATAAACTGACTGTTAGGACCAGCAAACTGCCACTTCCCGCTCTTCTAATCATTATGTTCAGTCACTATCTATGGAGGCAAGCATCGGTTCTTTCCCCATGCCGAGCCCCCAGCCCCCAAAGCACCATGAAAGGAAAGAGTATCCAGAATGACGAGGGGATACTTAGCGCCTGTCCCTGACCCAACAGAGCAAAGCTCTCCCGCTGTCTACTGGATCCTTCCCAGATGCCTCCAAACCCAACCAGGGCCCCTCCTCAAAATTATCCTCACTTGATTCCACCATCCCCTCCAGCTGAATCCCATGTAGCCCCCTCCTTTTCACAGTCAAACTCCTAGAAAACTTCATAATCTGTGTTCCTTGTGTCCACTTCCTCTCCTCTCACTCACTCCTCCATCCTGGCTTCCAACCTCCTCACTGCCTTTCAAAATTAACCAATCAACAAGATGTTACTGGCCCATCCTCATTCTTCCAGCCCTTTGTGTGGCCCTCCAGAGGCTCCAACCTTTCCTCGGGTTACTCTCTCCTCTCTAGTCTGGTGTCTCCTACCTATCTCCATCCTCCAACAGCCCCAGTCTCCTCTGCTGAATCATCTGATCCACATCATGTGCCTTAAGTGGATATATTCCCCAAGGCCCTCTTCTTTCTCCAGCTTCCCAAGGAAACTCTCCAATGCTTCAGGGCTTAATTATCTTCTATGCAAATAATGCTGATGTCTACTACCTGGCTGGCCTTGGGCACTGTCACTTTACTTTGGAGGCCCCAGTTTCCTGTGACTAGACTAGCTGACCAATCAGATCTCTTCAGGTCTCCTTCTGCCTCTGGATGCAGGAAACTGTGACTCCTACCAGCTCCTCTCTAGCTAGCCCTAGCCCTAGTCTCTTCCCTCAGTTCTGGGAAAACGTAATAGATTATTGGGGGGGGGGGTGTTGATGGTCTGTCTCTCTCTTGGTCACTGCTGGCAAGATTCTTCAACTGGCTGATCCTTCACCTGGAAGATGGTCATCTACTCAAGAGCTAATGCGGCTTCAGAAAGGACCAAGGAATAGCAGCCATGGCATTTGCTGCCCAATAACTACAGGAAAAATGACAAGTGTCTACAAACAATGCTCATCGACCTAACCAAGGCCTTTGATACTGTCAGTCCTGAGAGCCTGTGAAAGCTCATGGAGAAATCTGGTGGCCAGGAGAAGTTCATCAGTATTGTACATCAATTTCATGACAGCATGCTTGCCCAGGTTCTGGATAATGGACAATGCTCTCATAGAACCATCAGTTATAGCAAATGGAGAAATTCAGAATGCTGTGGATGAGTTCAATTATTTTGGCAGTACACTTTCCAGGGATGTCCACACAGATGATGAAGTTGAGGCATCCACGCAGATTAAACTGTACTTTATTTTAGCTCAGTGTTTGGAAAGGAGACTCCAAAGGAAAATGTGGGAGAGGTGTTTAGACTGCCTACCAAACTGAAGGTCTACAGAGCTGTTGGGCTGACCTCAATGTTGTATGCCTAGGAAACCCGGACAGTGTACCAGAGCTGTGCCAAGAAACAGAATCATCTCTGTTTGAATTGTCTTAGGAAGATTCTGAAGATCACCTGGCAAGATAAGGGCCCAGACACTGAGGTCCTTTGTTGAGCTAAACTGCCAAGTATTCAAGAGAGCTCAACACCAAGGTGCTGGTCACACTGTTCAAACGCTAAATGTTTATTTGCCTAAAAGACAATTTTACAGAGAATTCACAAAAGGCAATCGCTCACATGGAGGTCAGAAGAATCAATTGTGAGACGTGAGAGATCCTGGCATGAGATGGCCCAGCACAGCAGCCTGCCCCCCCCCAAAGAAAGCTCTGTGTTCTGTGAGAAAAGCAGAACTGCAGTAGCTCAAAAGAAAGATGAGCTGCACAGATTTAGAGACGTGTCAGCTCCAAATGTTCGTGTGGACTATTTGTGCCTGACCTATGGGTGGAGCCTCGCAAGCTCATCATGGTCTGATCAACCAGTCAGACACATTGCACCTCGCCCGACATGCTGGTCCTCTGAGAATGAAAGAAAACAATAACCAGCTGGCCAGCCCGCCAGCCTCTCCCCTAAGCTCTGGCCCAGCACCATCAATCATCTGATGGATATCTCCATCCAAATGTCTCCTAGATAATTCAAACCCAAAAAGTCCAAAAACAGAACTCAAAATGAAGAACACTCCTCTTCTGAATTTCCCCCCACTTACCCATCCCCCTTCCCACCAATTTAGATCCAAGAGAAAGAATGGGCTTACACCCTGCTCACTCACATCACTTCTAGGCAATCTCTCCTCTGTTAAGGTTCCCTTCTGTCTGTCTAGATCAGAGATGTCAAACACACAGCCCACAACTGTACCCAAATCAGATTAAAATATAAGTGGGAAATATTTAACCAAATAAATAAAAACATAATAAAATATAAATATTACATTTTAAAACTAAATTAATATGCAGCCCAACGGGATCTTTATCCATTTTGATTTGAGTTTACAACACTGACCCAGATCACCTGGTCAAAAACCCTTGTCTATGGACTGTCATTGAGTTACTCGCCCAAATCACACTCCCTCCTCTATGAAGGAATTGAGTAGATGGTTGGGCCCCAGCCTCTGCCCTCATACTACTTAAGGGCTTCGCCTCCTGGAGCACTTCCAGCCTCCCAGTTCAATCTCAACTCCTATAACCTACATAACATAGAGGTGGTGAGCCCTTAGATCTCACTGTCACTCAAAATCACTTATAGGATCTGGAAACCTGAAATTCCTCTCCTGATTGTCATCAAACACTCACTCTGCCTCCTTTCTCCTATACTTTGTCTTCATTTTCCCCAGTCTATCCCACTCTTCCTCCCCACTCCCCAGTCTATAGTTGATTATTACAAGACACATCTAGTCAGCCCCAGACTCACCCTGCAACACTGCTTCATCCCAGGGCCTAGCCATATGGGCTTCTTGCCATCTTCTCTGCCACTGTGTGTCTATCCTCACTAGCAACAATGAACCTTACACTGTTTCCACTCAAGTTTCAGGACTGCTGGAGCTACCAATATTTTGGACTCAGTGGACTCAGCCCTACCCCCTTGTATATACTGTGTACTAAATGTCTGTGGAACTGAAGAAGGAAAAAAAGTGTGGATTTTGAAGACAAGTCCCAGACTACATCTGCAAAGTCATCTAAATAAGTGTGCTATCTGAACAAGTGTTCTTTTCTCAGCAATGCTATCAGATGTTTTTGTAAATTAAGGTGTTAAGAGAAACAACAGCAGTACACAATGTGGAATGCAAAAGTAAATAATCCAAACTGATTCATAAAATTGGGCTTGGGTATTTATTTCCCACCAAGAGAATCCGGTATAGCTTTTGTTGGTAGAAAGCCAGCCTCAGAGCTAGCAAGACCTACGTTTAAGTCTGGTCACTGACACACAGGCTGTGAAATGCTCACAAATCAAATCATTTCTGTCCTCTCAGTGCCCATGCAAGTAAGACTATGTTAGAAAGCAGACACCAATAGGAGTTCCCCAAACCAAAGGCAATCAAAGGTCAAGATTTTTTAAAAAGAGAGAAATATTTCTTCACCGAATCAAGGCAATTCTTTCAGTCTTCCTAACAGACTTCCTATCACGCTCTCCACCACAGCTGTTCCAAACCTCCTCGTCTCTCCCAGCCTCCCACACGCCTCTGCCTCCCCCTATTCTCTCCTCATATTTGACTGAGAGAAATAAGGCTACCTGCTCCCTCTTACGCCCCTCTACATCTCAAACCTCATTCTCTAGTTTCAGACAACCACTTTATAAAAGGAGGAAACTGAAGCTGAGATATGGGGGGGGAGGGGAAGTCAATTCCACTGATAAATATCCAGTGGATAGTGGATTTAAACCCAAGATTTCGTGCAGTGGATAGAGTGCTTATTTCCTGACTTCAAATTCTGTCTCAGACACTTACTAGCTGTGTGACTTTGGGCAAGTCACTTAACCCTATTCGCTCAACAAAATGAGCTGGGGAAGGAAATGGCAACCTGCCCCAGCGTCTCTCCCACCAATACCAGAGTGAGGCAGGACTGAGCAAGCCCTCCTGCAGCCTTTTAAGCGCGCTCTCTCGCTGCTCCCGATGCCTGGTGTAAACTCTCCCATACACACCTCCTTGCGCACTAGTTTTCTCTCCGCCGGCAAACCGAGCCCAAGCCAGCATTTCCTTTCCTTTCCATTCCGTTCCCTTCCAGCTCACCACAGTCTCCCTCCCGCTTCCCTGGCCCCGCACGGCGCCTGGTACACAGTGGGCGCTTAATACGTGCTCGCTGACATCAACAAGCACCCAGCTGTCCACGCAGCCCCGCCCCCGGGCTGCCTCAGTTTCCCCGCCCGTCCGCCCAGGCCCGGGGCCCCGCCTCACCGGCCGCGAAGTGCAGCGGGGACGACTTGCGGCCGGCCAGGTCCTTGGCGTTCACGTTGGCCGCGTCCACGAGCCTCCGCACCCGGGCCACGTCCCCGTTGCGGCAGGCCTCCAGCAGCTCGCGCAGGGCGCCGCTCACGGCCGGCCCCGGGCCTGGGCCTGCCTCCGGGGGGCTGTCAGAGCTGGGCCCCAGCGAGCCGGGGGACGACGAGGCGGAGGAGGCCGAGGACGAGGAGGACGAGGTCGACGAGGAGGCCGAGGAGGAGCACGAGGACACCGAGGACACCGAGGTGGCAGAGGCGACGGCAGCGGCCGGGCAGGAGCCGGGGCAGGGGCAGGGCCCGGGGGCCGCCGCCGCGGGAGCCGGGGCCGAGGCTGGGCCGGCGCTGTCGGCGGGCTCGGGGGAGCGCGGCCGCTCAGGCCCAGGCCCGACCCCGACCCCGCCCCCGGGCCCGCCTGCTCCTCCCCCGTCCGCGTCTGGAGGCGCCGGGAGGCCGCCGTGGCGCGGGGAGGCCGCGGGGGACGCGGGCCGGGGCTCAGCGAGGGGGGGGGCGGCGGCGGCGGCGGGGCCGCTCCGGCGGCGCCCGGGGGCAGCAGCGGCAGAGGCAGAGGCGGCGGCAGCGGAGGCGGCGGCGGCGGCGGCGGCGGGTGATGGACACCGTGGTGGTTGTGGTGGTGATGCTGAGAGCGACGCGACGCCGCCATCTCCCCACTCGCTCAGCACGGTCACTGCGGCAACCGAGCCAGCGCCCACCCCCACTTCCGCCCGAGCGGGGCCAATCACCGTCCGCAGCCACGGAAGCGAGGACGCCGAGGGAAGCAACGGCCGCGGCCGCAAGGGCTGACGGGAACGAGAGGGCGGGGCCATCCGGGAAACGGCGAATGGAGAGGGCTGCCTCTCCGAGGAGGCGGGCCTTGGGCCCGGAGGGGCAGGGAAGAAGCGAAGGGCGAGTACCACCTCCTCGAGGATGGGAGCGGTTGGGGGCCGGGCTTAACCCTGAGGGTCGAGCCATCTGGGAAGGGGCGAATGGAGGATGGGAGAGATGAGAAAGAAGTTGTCTCAGAAGGGCCGAATGAGGAGACCTCTGTCTCTGCGAGGAGGCGGGACTTAGACCTGGGGGCGGAGCAACAGGGAATGAACGAAAGGAGAGAACCTCCTCTCAGAGGGTGGAGGCGGAGCTTAATCTTGAGGGAGGAGCCATGCAGGAAGGGCCGTCTCTACGGGGAGGCGGGTCTTAACTCTGGGGAGGCGGGGCCACAGGGGAATGAGCGAACGTGAAAACTGCTTCTCAGAGGGTGGGGGCGGAGCTTAATCCTGAGGGCGGAGCCGTCCCACCAGGGCCGAATGGAGAAGGCCATCTCTCTGGGGAGGCGGGGCTTAACCCTGGAGGGGTTAATCCTGAAAGGCCGAAAGGGGCTGGCCGCCTCCTGGAGGATGGGAGTGACCAAGAGGCGGGGCTTAGTAGGGGAAGGAGTCCGAGAGGCTGCGTCCCAGGGGGCGGGGCCGAAGGGGAAGAGTTGTTGCTGCGAGGATCGCCTCCCTCCCAGTCCAGACTTCGCACAGCGGAGCCCGGGGCGTCCGTCCTGGTCCATTTCTGCAAGGCTGGCTGGTTCCTGGCCTCCGGGAGCTCCCGCTCTCCCTGGATGCTTTCCTCTTGTGCGCCCTTCATCTCGACCTTGACTCTCAGGTCCAGCGTCCCCAGGTCAGGCAGGGACCAGAATGGAAAGACCCTCGGGCCGCAGTCCTGGCTCACCCGCCCGGCGTCCCCGGTGACCCTGAACCGACCCTGCCTGCTCTTTGCCTCAGTTTCCTCATCTGCGATGCAGCGATGCAGAGGAGAGGGAAGGTCGGCCTGGCTCACCTCTGAGGTCCAGACCTTGCGCCTCCGAGGCTAAGACTGTGTCACTTTATACCCCCCACGCAAACATTTACGGAAGTGTTTTGGGGTGCAAAGAGCTGGACTCTGGGGAAGATGAGTCAATTAGATGAGATGCAAAACTCGTAGGAGTTATAAGATGTGGCGTGAGGTCCAAGAGGGGTGAACGACTCCTCCCCACTGACAGAGAGATCCTGCGATTAAAGGGGTGAATGGAGGAGGGCAGGCTTCCTGCAGCGCAGAGGGTGGGGAGGGGAAGTGAGTATCCTAAGATTAGCCCAGAGAGCCGGGATGGCACCAGGTTGTGAAGGAGTCTCTTAAAGTTCCAAGTTACTGACCTCTGGCACCGGGATGAGGGGTCACAATTCCCCAGCCCCGCGGCATCCTTCCCTCGGGTTCTCCTGGCCTCACTCCTCATCGACCCTGGAGCTCACCACGGTTGTCGGCACCAAATTTTCCCCACCCTCTCCATCTCTGAGAAAATGTGTCCCAATGGAAAGGGTCTTGGAGATCAAAAAAAAAAGGCATTCTCGTCCCTGTTCTACTTCCTCCTGGATAGGTGACCTGACCTGCGGCAAGTCACCTGGAATCAGAGCTTTAGAGCTGGAGGCACAGTGACACACCAGCTCCTATTGACCCAGTCTGTGGCTTGTTTGTAGATTGTCTGTGGGGCCCCCCCCATTAGAGAGTGAGCTCCTTGAGGGCTTCTTCGAATCCCCTGTGCTTAGCACAACCCTGACACATAGTAGGCTTCCTAAATGCTTGTTGGCTAATTTATACAGTAAAGTACTTTACAAACATCTCATTTAATCCTCACAACCACCGTGGAAGGGGGTGCTGCTGTTCTCCCCACTTTGGAGATGAGAAAACTTGGGTTCAAATAGCTTGTGCAGGGTCAGACAAATACCTAACAAGGATCTGAGGCAAGATTTGAAACCTGGCCTGCCACTCTCTTAAAATCTAGAGATTTAGCCATTATATCATCCAGTCAAAACAGCAGAGGGGAGAAGCTGAGGCCCAGAGAGGGTGAGTGGCTTACCAAGGCCTCCTAAGAGGTTAGCTGGAGAGCCAGGATTCAAGCCTCAGTTTTCTGCCTCCAATAAGTGCCTACTATGGGCTTAGATCTGGAGACACAAAAACTGTTTTGAGGACAGTCTGCTCCTGGGAAGCTTAAGAGAGGCAAATACCAGGAAAGAACATGTACTTAAATATAAACCCAATCAATTCACGGCAGCTTCAGGGAGGGGACCACATTAGCAGCCAGGAGGTCTCGGAAGGCTTCATGGAGGTGGCCACATAATTCCCATCCCTGCCACTTTAAGGGAATTTATATGGGATAAGAGGTACAATCACAATTTCTTCAAGCCCGGAATTAGGAAACACCTCTCATTGAAAGAGTGAGTTAGCTCGGTGCCTTAATGTACATTTTACAGCTATCTCTACTTAAGCCCTGGCCTTTTTGTGCTTTTTTCCTTTCTTTCTATAAGGGATGTAGTGAAGTGGATAGAGGGCCTAGAGTCACCAAGATCTGAGTTCCAGTCTGACTCCGACGCTTACTAGCTGTGTGACTTTGGACTGTTCCTGTAACTTCTGATGGAGTTTCCTCACCTGCAAAATTGGAGCAGTCACAGCATCTGCTTCCCAGGGCGGCAGCAAGGAACAAATGAAATCACATTTGTAAAGCATGCAGTACAGTGCCGTCATAGAGTAGATGCTATGAAAATGCTAGCTGTTATTATTAATAAATTCTCACCCTGGCTCGTTCCGCAACTTGTGCCCATCAACCTCTACTCAAGTAGGGCTATATAAATTGTTTGCCTTTATTCCAGTGAGAAGGCATTTCCCCCACACCTCAGGGATCAGAATATAGCTGTCTATTATTGCTTTTGATCCCCATGAGGCAACCAAGTGATGGATTGGACCTGAGTTCCAATCCTGTCTCAGATACTTCCTAGCTGTGTGATCCTGGGCGAGTCACTGTAACCTCTGTCTGCCTTAGTTTCCTCAGCCATAGAATGGGAATCATAACAGCACCTCCCTCCCAGAGCTGTTGTGGGGATCAAATGAGATCGTGTCTGTAATGTGTTTAGCTCGGTGCCTGGCACACAATAGTGCTGAACAATGCTTGTATCCTTCCGGCTTTCCCTAAGCCAATCTTCATTACCCTACAATCCCATACTAACCGAGGACACCTCAGAACTGAACCATCTTCCAGGCCCTCTCAGGGCTTATGGAGGCACCGAGTCCAAATCCTTCCGTTTCTGAGAAGGAAATCTAAAATACCAGAGTGGTGAACTGACTTTCCCAAGGTCACACCTTCTATCCATCATTTGAACCCAGGTCCTTTTACTCCAGTCAAACCTGTGCTGGTCTAAGGCCACATTCAGGGGATGAAAAGCGTCTGGCTAGAGAATCAGTGTAATACATGCTGGTGTCTGTGGCTAGGCCACAGGAGGAGAAGTAGAGAAAGAGTGTAACTTTTCTTGGAACTTTCCTCCCTCCGGGGAGAGAAGGGGACAAGGGGCAGCACCAGCCCAAGGCTTCTCCAAGATGCCAGAGCAGCCAGTGGCCCCCCTCCCCCTCCCCCAGCTCAGTCCTGTCACGATTCAGTGGCCACCAGCCCAGGGGAAGCCCTCATCACCTCTCTCTCAGACACCGGTACTACCTGCCTTCTCATTGCCTCATCTCTCTCTTCTTCAGTCTACCCTCTACTCAACTGAATGGGAAAAGCATTCCTCTTCCCAATGGCATGTTTATAACACTTTAGAGTTGGCCTTTTCATAAGTCATCTTATTTGATTTTCGCAGCAGCCTTGGGAAATGGGTACCGTTATCATCCCCATTTTACAGGTGAGGAAGCAGACGAAGATTACGTGGGGAAAGGGAACGAGCATTGGCTAGCACCCACTGTGTGCCAGGAGCCGTTCTTTACAAATCTTTAAGTGACTCACCCAGAGTCATGCAGCTAGTAGGCATCCTGATTCCAGACCCAGCACTATCCTCTGTGCCGCCTGGCTGCTTGTAAGACGCGGGTCTGCCCATGCCGCTTGCCTGCACAGAGGTGTGCAGTGGTTCCCGGGTACATGTGTGAGAAAGCGCTGTGATTCTAGTTCCTTTTGCCTTGGAGGCCATGTCTTGGGTTGGAAGGCGTGTTGCCTGGCCCCGAAGCAAGTGCTTAATAAGTGTTCTCTCTCTCCGTTTCCATCTTTCTCTGTGTCTCTGTCCTCTCTGTCTCTGACTGCCCCTCTCTCTTCCTCCCTGCCCTGCCCTATTTGTCCATGCAGACTTGGAGTCCAGAGACAGGTCTAAATGGTGGCTCTGACATTTACTAGCTGTGCAGTCCTAGGCAGGGCCCTCCACTGTATGAGTCATCGTGCATGAAATGCAACACAAAGGGCCTTAGATGGGAGCTCTCCCATATGATCAAACTCTTATTATTCCTGTTTGGCAGAGAAGGAAACAAGCCAGAGCAGGGGCGGGGAGCCATGTGTGACCGAGTGCGAGTTGTACAGAACAAATCCTTTCATTAAGGGGGTTTGTTCTGTGAAGCTGGGACTCAGAGGGCCTCACTTGAGGACGTAGAGGCCACGGGTTCCTCATGCCTGAGCCAGAGAATGAGATTTTGTGCTATAATGGCATGTGTTGGAGTGAGAAATATGGAGAGCATATTTCTATACATGGATGCTTGGTCCATCTTGACCTCGATATCTGTATGGGTACTGAGAGGCTTCCCAGCGAGTCTCCAGCCAGCCGTGTTTCAGCCCGGATTGGGGAGCCTTGAGGAGCCGCCTTCTGGCTGTGAGTAACTAAGGCGCCGATGCTCTATGTGACAGAGGAAGGGTTTGCTGGGGGACTTCAAAGCCAGAAGTATTCATGACAGAAAAGGGACTGAACTGATAGGCAGATCGGCCTTTTCCCTGCCTTCCTCTCTTCCTGGTGCTTTCGAGTGGGGCAGACCTGCCAGGAGCTTCTGGGTCAGGAGGTGCTCCTGA